ACACAGTCCACCTGTAGCCAGGGAGGGAGTTCTGGCATCTGAGCCCTTGTTTGGGTCTCTGGATCCCTGGGAAATGCCACAGTCTAATTCTGCCTTGGGAACTAAACGCTCCTATAAATTGTGTTACCACCCCGGCCCCTGCTCAGGGGTCTTCTAGAAGGTCATCTTTGCCCGCTGACCCTGCTCACATTCATGGACAATTCTGGGAACCCCTACTGGGTGCTGGCTGTGTTCGGACCTCCCCGACAGGCAGCCAAGGCCTCTGTCATCCACGAGTGTTCATCTAGTGTCTGTGTAGCTCGCCTCAGCTGGGGTGAGTTCTGGAGACTGAGGCTAGCTCCTGGCCTCACCCTCAAGAAACTGGCAGTGGAGAGACTAGGAGTCTGGGGCTAGGATGTGAAGGACATAGCCAGAAGTTTGCCCAGCAAAACAAAGGCAAACTCATCAGATTTCACCTACCCCACAACCCCCATCCCTGTGGGTCTTGTGTCTTCCCAGGGAAGCCATGGGTCATCCAGCCTGTCTCCCCCCATCCAACCCCATCGTTTTAAAAGACAATGTCTCATGTCATCCAGACTGGCCTAGAACTTGCTGTGTACTTAAAGGGGACCTTGAATTCCTGATCTTCTTCTGTCACCTTCCCAATACTGGAGTTACAGATATGTGCAAGCGCTCTGTGGGTGGAGCTATCTCCGGGCTCAGCCTGCCCTTCTGCCTATTTTATTGGTTGTCCTTCTCCACATTCACACACAGACTCTATAATGTTCATTCATAAGCTGGAATGCCTTACCCCACTCTTCCGACCTCACTCTGGGTTAGACTCTCCTCCATGGCTCTAGCAACCCAGTTCTAGCTTGGTGCCTAAAGAGTCCCAAAGATTGGGTCAGCAGTACCACCCCCGTACTTTTTGTGTGTAAAAGATTTCCACGTGTGGAATTGTATGTTTGGGGGTGTTTCGTTCAAGATGAGTCACCCCACTATTCACAGAATCCTTGCCACATATTCGTGAGCACTTTGGGCAAATTTAGCAGGTTAGCCCTGAGTGGGGGCTGCCCCCTGAAAGAACTCATTTCTTTGGTTGACATTTTGTTGCTGGTGGTGGTGGTAGTGATTCCACCATGGAAAGGAATTAATTCTAGATCAAGAAGCAGCCAGACTACTGGTCCACTAGCTGGGGGAAGAGGGCACCCTGAGAACCTGGCTTACCCTGCCTTCCAGATTCAGCCAGGGCTGTGTTCCCAGAGGTCCAGATGGCCTGCCCTAGACTCTCTGTTGAGAACACAGGACGCTGGATCCTAAAGGGAACTCTCCTAGACATTTGCAAGGCAAAAATGTAAAGGCCCAGGATTGCTGTAATTTGTTCAACACTTATTCGGAACCCTAGTGACAACTTACATTACTGGTCAGCTGCCCTTTAAGGGGCCTGCATGAGTCATCCAACCCGAAGGGAAAGCTTCAGTCATTCCACAACTACAACTGGGCAGGGCTAAGAACCACCAGGAAGGCGGAGTGCCCTGTTGTGGTAGGGCAAGCAGCTAGACAGTGGGGTTCCCTCAGGACCTCTTGAGAGCCAGCTCTATAAAATTTATGTCTGCCAGAACAGGCCGGACCCCTGGATATCCGGTGGACTCTATCACAAGAAGCCCATGGGGGCGCCATGACTGGGGCCAAAGGTCACTTAGCTGGTCTCTTCTACTTAGATAGGAAGCTGGAAGGCCAAAGCTCAAGTGTGGCTTCTGACAGCCCGCACCTGGCCTTAGTCAATGAAAGTTCAGTGTTGTACTTGGCTCTCCCTTCCTGGGTACAGCGCCTGGGTGTAGTTCCTGGGTTGCAGAAATGAGGAAGTGAGGACCAGCTGGACCTGCAGCACAGAGGAATGCTAGGACAAGAGAACGAAGGCAGCAAGGCAGCATGAAGCCACATGAGAACCCCAAGCAGAATTGCAGAACTCAGCCTAGTCCAGGACATCATGGGGAGTGTGGGCTGTGGTCATGGCCAGAACCTGTGCAAGGCGTTGCTGGGAACCAGCACGCAAGAGGGTCTGTACTGCAGAAAGACAGATGCCAAGGTCAGTGCGGCATCCAGTGACCAAACTCAGACACAGGACCACTAGATGTGGCTGTGCTGTGTGTCTAAAAAGCTGAGAACCCTCAGGGCTGCGTGATTGTTATTCTCCTGTGCCACTGCCCAGGCCACAGCTCAGATTCCCAAGAAAATACCTTAGGCAAGGTCAGGAGAGACCTCCTGCTTCCAGCCCTCTCTGCCTCACTGTTGGTGTCCCTGAACACAGAGCTGCCAGTCCCCTTGTGTTCTGTGTCTCCTGGCTCTGCCTGGGAGACTGAGATCATTGGTGCCAACAGAGGGCAGCCCTTGGCCAGCCCTACCTCTCCTCCTTTGGTAGCAGCCTCCTCCCCACACTCTGTAATTCAGGCACTCCATTGCATCCTGAGGTGGCAGGCAAAAAGGAAACAGAAGCTTACACATGTGTCTGAGCCTTAGGGGGTCTCCTCTGTGGTAATGAAATATAGCAAGGTTGGTGACCCCATTGGTGGCATCTTGGAAGACGAGGGAGGATTTGCTGTCAATACCAGGCCTGATATAGAGTCATTCTGCCATCCCACCCTGCTTAGAAGAATCCACCCCAAAGGAAGACAAGGGTAATGGTAGCAAGGTTTTTAAATGGATGAAACAAGTAATCCCCTGGGACTTCTCACCTGCGTGAGTTCAGGAGAGAGGAAAGGCAACCCCCCGCCCCTCAAGGCGACTAAGGATTAATGGAAGACTCCTGACCCTAGCCCAGGCTCTTCTTTGTCCAGTTAACTCAGTGCCGTCCCCTGGCCTGGCCCCACTCAGACCTGTTGATCAGGGAAGTGGCTCTTGAGGCCATGATGAGGGGCCATGGATACATAGAGACACATCTCTGGCCATAATAGAATCCTGCAGCTCCACTCCAAACCCTTCAGCTTGAGGAGGATAGAGACGGAGGCTGTCCTGTGGCCGACGCCTGGCATAGTGAGCCCTGCTTTCCAGGGGCATCAAGTCCAGGTGGGGGCCAAGGGAGGTGCACTCCATCCAACTCTCTAGGATGGGTAGGGCATCTCTGCTGCATCCAGCCAGAGTTTGACACCTGCCCTGTGAGAGAGCTAGGAAGACTTCCTGGAGGAAGGCTTTCCTGAGCATTCCTGTGGCATACCCAGTTTGAGGGCCTGCCACGTGTACCATGCAAGTCCCAGGTTGGGCGCTGTTGGGACCTAGTACCCATATTCGAGGAGCAAGGCTCAGTAAATAGGTAATTACTCACAAGGCTGGAGTCTCCCCCTTGCAGAGAGCCTGGGAGGGCTTTGAATGAGTAGGGAAGGGATGGTGGTGTCCCTTGAGACTTTGCCTCATGGACAACAAAAAGGGCAATACAGGTGTAGGGAGTCTGAGGCCAGCAGGCAAGGGCACCTCTTTGCCTGGTGGATGCAGGAGCTGGACCAGGGTTAGCAATAAGGAGACAGGTGTGTGCTGAGGACACCAGCAGAGCTGGGGCATCAGAGGACACTTTCAGACAAGATGCCTGAGTCCCACACCTCACAGGCAGGCTGCACCTAAGGTTAGCCACAGATCCAAGAGGCAGACTGAGGAGGAAGCTCTTGTCTTGCACCAGCCCCCACTACTTCCATACCAGCTGGTGGCCACACCCCCATGCCTGGAAACCTGTTACCCTTGGGGTCAGAATCTTCCAGGGCAGTTGATACTAGGGACCTCCAGGCTCAGTCAAAGTCACTCCCAAATGACTCCCAACCTTGCTCCAAAGGGGTCATCACTGTCTCCCCGCCCTGGCGCCCGCCTCTCGACCCAACCTCCCTGGTCCTGGGCGGGCTCGCAGAAGCCTCGCAGACACTGTGTGGAGGCGGAGTCTGTGACTGTGGAGACTCGGGTGTCCATTTTTGGGGCACTTTGGAAGCCCCTCCATCTTCCCTTTTGGCAGCCTGAGTGTGGCGCTGGCCCTTTAAAGCCGATCAGTGTCTGGCTTTGAGGGGGGGGGAACCATATTTCTGCCGTCTGCTTACAAGCCTGGCCTTGGGAGGAGGGTCACTCCAGCCCCCGACCGGGGCACGGGAAGGGCAGGTGGAGCCAGTAGCATTGATTGCAGTAACCCGATCCCGCGGGGGAGGCGGCGACATCGCAGCGCGTCGGGCCGCCTAGGGAGGAAGCTGCCCGCATCTGAGGGTTGGGCCAGGAAGAGTTGGGGCTGGGGCCCGGGTCGGCAGCTGCGGCCTCCTCTCCGGCCCATCTATTTTTAATGAGCTCCCCAGGCTTCTGCAGCCGGCCGGATGCAGAAAGGCAGGCCCAGTTGGTGGAGGCCAGGAGCCCCAGCCCTGCCTTGAGCTCTGAACCCCCCATCCTTCTGGGCATGAGAGGGCAGTCCTGGAGCCCCGCAGCCCCCTGGCCGGGCAGGGCTCTCCATGCAGCTGGTGCTGAAGATGGATTCAAGCCCAGACAATGACAGCTGGTTGGAGGATCAGTGGGAGCGCTGGTAGGGTCCTGGGGGCTGACCTCAGGGTGGGGGAGGGGTGAGTCAGTCCGGAGGTGCTCCATTGAGCTCAGGGCCCCTGTTCAGACTAAGTGAGGTAGATGGCAAAGGTGTGAGTCTTCTAGGTTTCTGGGAGCTGCTCCCGCCCTTCCTCTCCTGGGTGACCTTGGCTGAGCTGTGTACCTCTGCTCTGTGCCTAATCTCCTGGTCTCTGGGAAAAGGCCCAGGCGTTCTCTCCAACTCCCCAGATGTCCCACTTACACTAAGCCAGACAGAGTGCCAGGGTGAGCGGGTACAGGGGACAGGCAGTCCCCCACAGTGGCTGCTATCTCAGCAGCTCCAAAGTGGGCACACAGACTGGCTGGGCTTCTGGTGCCCATGCTCTTTGTGGGCTGTCACAAGCCCTTGCCCAGGCCTCCCTGACCCCATTTAGTCAGGGTCCTTGCACAAGATGAGATTGTATGGTTGGAGACCAAGAACATAGCAGGAAGCTTCAGTTTTTCTTAGAGCAGGCCGATCCCAGGTCCCCCTCATACTACCCTGGCTCAAGGGCGTGCATTTTTATGGGTGAGAGAAAAGGGTACCTTCTGTGCCTCTGGTAACCCTTTGGTTCTTGTTACTGTGGAGTGCAAAGGTTTCTCTGCTCTGGGTACTTCTTGGGGTTGAACTAGCCTTGGCACTTGCTTCAGCCATGGAGGCATTTCTCCAACAGAGCTGAGGCTCTGGACAGTTGGGTCTTCTAGGGCTGCCTTCTGGTTGGCAGTAGGATGGAGAACTCCCATCCGGTGATGCCGGAGGAACCTAGAGCTGCCTCCTCCGCCACCTTAGGTGGAATGCCTTTTGGCTCCAACCCAGATCCTTCTTCTGCCACTGCTGTAGACAGACTGAATCTTCCATCTGGGAGTCGTCGCCTGCCTTCCAGAGGCTTCCCCTGGGAAGAGGAAGATAGCAACAGCTTAGTTGAGGCTTAGACCCCCTGGGTTGTAACTTTGGTTTCTGTCCCCAACAGGCTCACCCACGACATCAGTCTGGAGGAGTTTGAGGATGAAGACCTTTCAGAGATCACTGATGAGTGTGGGATCAGCCTGCAGTGCAAAGACACACTGTCCCTCAGGGTAAGGCTAGGTCTGGAGAGTCTGAGTGGCTGGGGGCTGGGGACAAAAGTATCCCTATAATTACAAAGGAGCTTCCAAGAATGTATGGTACCCCTAAGAAGAGAATTAACAATGCCGGAAGCATCTAATATAATGTTTGGCACATCTTGGGTGCTCAATCCAAAATCCTACTGTTTTGTATTGTTTTCTCAGTGCTATAGCAGGGAGCAGCTCCTTCATTTGTTCAGAGAGAGAGAGAGAGAGAGGGAGAGAGAGGGCAGGAGGGCTTGAGATACAGGACAGAGGCAGTGAGGGCCAGAGTGAAGGGAGGGGCCTTTCAGGAGCTTCTTGGCAGAGGCCTGCAGCAGTCCAGGGTGGAGTCTGGTAGAAATCTGCAGTTCTTTGGGGCAGGGCAGGGAGCCAGGGTGCTGCTGGATTAGCTCCGGAGGCCACCGCCACCACTGCACCACCCTGACCACACTACCAACATTTTGGGCTTTCAGTGGCGCCTGCCAAGGGCTTGTTCCAGAATTGGTATTGCTCTGCATGTCTTGGCTCTACCATAGTGATAGGCTGTCTCCTGTCCTTCTGAGTGCCAGAAGGGTACCCAGGATAGACGGGAAATCCCCATTCCATTGTCAGAAGACAAACCAAGGGCTTGCTTGCAGGATAAGGAAGGCAGCGGCACTGGGTTAGGTGTCAAAGCTCACCGCTTGCTCTAACCAGGTCGTTAAGTAGCTAGAGGTACCATTTAGATAGCTGTGGTGTGGCTAGGGAAGGGCATCTGTCTTAGTGTTGACCTCCTGCTATCCCTAGCACTTTTAGAAACTTTCAGGCAAAGCCGGACAGCGGTAACGCACGGCACGGCACGCACGCCTTTAATCCCAGAATTTAGGAGGCAGAAGCAGGCAGATCTCAGTGAGTTCAAGGTCAGCCTGGTCTCCAAAGTGAGTTCCAGGACAGCCAGGAATGTTACACAGAGAAACCCTGTCTCAACAAACAAACAAAAACCTTCAAGGCAAGGGAAAACAAGCCATTTTCCGTCCTAATACCCAATCCTGTACCTTCCGGCTAGGCCAGGAAGGATGGAGGCAGAAGCCATTTTTTTCTGGGCTTGGGGAGTGGCCTCAGAGCGGGGTCACAACTTCTCTAAGGCCCCATACCTGTTCTGGAGTTTGAAACTGTCTCCCACATGCAGGGCTTTCAAGAGAGCCTTCTGCAATTAGCCAGAGCCACTTCCACCCTACCCTAGTAGTGCTAGACTAACTAGGGAGATCCCCCGGTGGGAGCCTAGT